GCTAAAATCCCCTCTCCGGGGCGCCGCAGCTCAGCCGGCCTGAGCCCAGCGGAGTCGGCGCGGGGCCAACAGACGAGTTCTCCAGTGACCTCACTCCCGCCCATCGGAGGTGGATTTAACAATGGCAGAACCTGCCCCCCAGTGCGTGTCTACGGGACAGTGCTGCCCCTGGGCATGTTTCTAGCACAGACAGAATCACAGAATCTCAGGGTTGGAAGAGACCTCAGAAGGTATCTAGTCCAACCCCCTGCTCAAAGCAGGACCAATCCCCAACTAAATCATCCCAGCCAGGGCTCTGTCAAGTCAGGCCTTAAAAACCTCTAAGGAAGGAGATTCCACCACCACCTCCCTAGGGAACTGGATCGAGGGCTTCCCCACCCGCCCCGTGACATGGCCCTCGCCTGCCCCGCAAGCACGGCCCTGACCCAATCCTGGCTGGGACCCAGCACAGCTCTCAGGAAACCGTCCCAGCGTGATCTAACCCTGGCCAGGCTGGAGCCTCCACCCACCCCCTGGGAAGCTGTTCCTGGGGTTCATTCCCCTAATGGGGGGTGTTGGGAGGGGCAGGTCTGGGGCTCCCCACTGGCACCATTGCCCCAGGCTGTAAGCCTCAGGAGGGTGATGTGGCAGCACCGGCTCTGAAGCCGAAGCGGGGGCTAGGGCCCCCACCTCCATCCCTGGCCACAGAACCCCATTGAACACCCCATGCCAGGGGCCAGGCAGCTCGGAAGAGATGGGATGTACGGGGAGATCCCAACACTGGAAGGGGGGTCCCCAACCCCCAGCATTTCTGGCTGGCCCCATTCCCAGCTCCCCCCTCACCCCCTTTCAGTCGAGGGCTCACGGCTCAGCCGTCGCAGGGCGCTAGAGCCCCTGGGGCTCCGTCCCCCTCCAGGGGGTGCTCCGCAGACCCCGGGCTCTCGTCCCAGCTCCGTCTAGCGGGGTTGGAGGGGGACGGGGTGGGTGATTCAGGACTCCGGGGTTCCAGCTCAGCAAGTGGGGGTGTCTAGGACTCCATCCCACGTCTGCCACAGGCCGGGTGACCATGTTCCCAGGCCCAGCGGGCACCGAGGAACGAGGCCGGGGCAGAGACCCGCAGAGAGAACAGGACTCCAATAATATTTTCTTTATTTACATGTTCCAGGCTGGAAAGGTCTGAACAGCGGAGCCCGCCCTCGGGGTCTGACGGGGCGGGCAGGGGACGGGGAGGGAAAAGGAAGGAGTAGAAAACAATTGTACAGTCAACATAAAAAACAGCCCCCCTCCCCGCCCCCCTGGAAAGGAGCATGCTGCCCAGGCCGTGCCCCCGGCGGGCTCTGTACACTGCAGTCCTGGAGCCGGGCAGGCGACACCCGTCTCTGCAGGGCCCCGTGGCCCAACCGCTGCTCAAATAAATAAACTCTCCCCGGAGAAGGGGACGAGGCCGCCGGCAGGACGTGAGATGGGGGGGCCGGCGATGCAGCCCAGAGCACGTGAGGGGCTTGCGGCTTCCGTCTGTCCGGCTAGGCCCCCCCAAACCCCACCCCCCCAAGAGCAAAACCAAACGTGGAGACTTCCAAACCCTTTAAAACCCAAACTCTGCCCTGGGAAAAGCTCCCATGCGTCAGAACCAAACCAAACCAAACGGTAAAACCTGGCTGGGGTCGCGCCGGGGCCTACACAGGCTGTGCCTGGTAGGGGCCTCTGCGCCAACAGCCCCCAGGGGCCTCCGAACTGTAAACACTGGGGCAGTGCCCATGTCCGTGAGGGGGCAGTCACTGGCGTCCTCCCTCGCCCTGGGGGCGCTGCCCACCGGGTGGAGCCGCTCAGTCCGGTTCACATGGGGTCCGGTCCCGCAGAGCCTCTTCTGAACCTGCCCAGGCTTCCACCCGGCCGCGATGCCGCCCGCCCGCTGCCATCACCGCCACCGCTCTAGCCGGAATCCGAGTCGCTGGTGTCCGAGGACGAGGAGCTGGAGCTGCTGCTGCTGGAGTCGGAGCTGGAGCTGCTGGCACTGAGCCGCGACACGGGCACCTGCTGGGCAGACTCCGGCTTCTCGTTGGCTGCAGGGGAACGAGGGAGCCGGTCAGCAAACAGAACATGCCCTCTTTATCCTGCGCTGGGAGCCAGGCTGGGCTAGCAGGGGCTGCAGGTCAGGTGTGAGGGGCACCGGCAGACCTGGGGGGAGCCCAGGGCTGGAATCATTCCCCCTCACCCAGCTCCGAAGCCCTGCCTCGCGGACACCAACGCCTCGCTCCCCCTCCTGCCCCCTGCCCAGCACTCACCCTTCTTGGGGGGCTTCTTGGTGGAGTTGAGCTGGCCGCTCACGTCCTGCAGCCGCTTCTCCAGCTCCCGTTTCTTCTCCAGCGCCAGCTCCTCCTTCGTCTTCCCCACCGGCTTCTTCATGGCTGCAGCGGGCGGGACAGACGTGCTCAGAGGGCTCCCCGCGGCTGGCTGCATCCCTGAGCCCCCCCTACTCCCACCCTGCCTGGGGAGCAGACAAGCCCACCCCTGCACTTCAGCCCCACCCCATCCCTGTACAGTGCGCGCAGGGAGCAGAGCGCATTGCTCCCCAAGGCTCCCCCAATGTCCCCCCATCCCTTGTAAGGCATACGGGGTGGTGTACAGGCAGGACAGGGGGACACTGCTGAGATCTTCCCTTCCCCACTGACTGACTCACTCACTGCAAGGCTCCCAGGCATACCCCCACGCTCTCACTAGGAGGCACCCAATCTCCTAAGCTCCCTGATTTCCCACCCTACTAACTTCATCCCCCTCCACCCTCGCTGCAAGGCTCCCAGCCCCCCTTGGCTATCCCACAACCTAGATCGTATCTAGCGCTTCTCTGCAGTAGGTCTTGGGGCACTTCCTCGACCACATCCTAGGGGAGAGCCCAGCCCGGGACCATCCCCCCCACTCACTCTCGCTGTAGGGCTTGCGCGGCTTCTTGCGCAGGCAGGACAGCACGTAGCGCTCCAGCTCCCGCAGGGTGGAGGGCTTGAGGGTCTCGAAGTCAATCTCGATCTCCTCAGGGTTGGAGTCACGCAGCGAGGGCTCCCGCGACTGGATGATGTGCACCACCCGCCCCAGCTTCTCCCCCGGCAGCTTGTTGATGTCCAGGCTGAGCTGGCGCTTCTCGTCGTAGGTCATGGGCTTGCTCTCCTCCTCCTCTTCTGAGTCGTAGAGCATGGGGGGTGCCGGCAGCGCCGCCTTCGACACCTTACTGGAATTCCTGGGGGGGGGGGGGGGGGGAGAGAGAGAAAGAGAAGAGAGAACACGTCATGCATGGCCAGATACCCCTTTTCTGGGCCACTGTGCGCCACAGAGCCAGCCCTGCCACCCACATGGCCAGAGTGGAAATCAAAAAGAACCTAACCAGGAACTGAAAAAGCAGGGCAAAGCTTGTTTATCCTTTTCCAATCTCCGAGGAGAACTTGGGTGTGAGAGAATCAGATCTACTGGTTCCGAAGGCTTGAAGGACATGGTGACCAGAAACAATCACTTCAGTTCACTAACTTGTTCACCAAATCAGTTGTAAACACAAAGTTTTTGATAAGCTTCTTTTCTTTTACATTTGAGGTCATTTTACTGAATTAAAAAATCGGTCTAAAAATGGTTTGTGCCTTTTTAAATTGCATTCCAATTTCCATAAAAATAGATCACAACAAATCTAGTAAATAAATGCATCATTCCCAATTTCTTTGCACAATAAAACACGCAATGGCATAAATAAAAATGTAGAGATCTACTATATCCTCCTGAACAGCAAAAAGTATCACCAAGTTTGACATAAAGCTTATATTCAGTTATATAACAACATAAGAACGGCCACACTGGGTCAGACCAAAGGTCCATCTAGCCCAGTATCCTGTCTACCGACAGTGGCCAACACCAGGTGCTCCAGAGGGAATGAACAGAACAGGGAATCATCAAGTGATCCATCCCGTCGCCCATTCTCAGCTTCTGGCAAACAGAGGCTAGAGACACCATCCCTGCCCATCCTGGCTAATAGCCATGGATAGACCTATCCTCCAGGAACTTATCTAGTTCTTTTTTGAACCCATTTACAGTCTTGGCCTTCACAACAGCCTCTGGCAAGGAGTTCCACAGGTTGACTGTGTGTTGTGTGGGGGAAAAAAAAAAAAAAAAAAAAACTTCCTTTTATTTGTTTT